ATGAGAGCAGCATGGGCATGAGTTACATCGGCTTATCCGTACCAGAGAAGCACAGAGCCAAGGCAAGTCAGCACACGGAACCACCTGCAAGGCAGCCCTTCAGGTCAAGCCGTCAGGAAAGAGATTTTTGCACAAGAAGCTCCTGCGCAAGAACTCTTTGGCCAGGACAGGAAGGCAAGCAAACACTTCACACCCGCCAAATAAAGGAAAGCGGAAGTGTTGCTAAACCTCACAGCTCTTTCATGTTGCAGAAAACAAGAAAACAGAAAGAAAAAATCACTTGCAAGTCAAAGGGAAGATTCTTTCTTAACACCAGCTCCTACAGAGCCAAGAATGAACAATCAAGTAACGAGGAGCCTTCTCTCCCTGTAGAACTGCTGCCAGTGCCATGGAAAACATCACTTACCAAGTTAGCAGATAAAAAGCAGCACTAAGTGCTCATTTTATGATGCTTTCAGGACGCCAGTGCTAAATTTTAAGCTAAGAAGAAGGCAAGAGAGTGTCACCGAGAAGACACATTCAAGAGCACAAGGCCTATTAGGGAAGAGCACAACCACCAAACGGTACAACCCTGGCTAACAGAGGTGTGCCAAGGAGTCACTGCAGGGTCCTAGTGCAGCAGCACAACAGATATTCCCATCAACCAGCTGCTTCTGCTGGGCAGGGCTGTCTGCCTGCTGCCAGCTCCTGCCTTTGCTTGGTGCTGCAGGAATCGATGCTTGCCCCTGAGCCGTGACTTCAGAGATTGGGTTGCTCATCCCTCTGGGACATTGACGTGTAGGCTGGCACCTCATGGGGCATAACAGTTCCTGAAATGGGAATGTGGTAGCTCCCTGCCTATGTCTCAGCTTCTCAACCACAAATAGGTAAGATATCAATAGGAAAAAAAACCTTGTCAACCCTGCCAGAGAGGTGCTGTGCAGGTGCAAACCACCCACAGGTGCTTCCAAAAGGTCATAAATGAGCATCAAGTTAAACACAGAGGGGCCTAGGAAAGACAGTAGATCTCAGCATGACAGTCTAGGTGGGAACAAACTTCTCCTAAGCTATTTGGAGACCACCTCTCCCTGCCCTGTAGGGCAATTCCTTTCAGCGAGAGTCATGCATTTCTCTGGTCCAAAGCACTTTCTGAAGGCCAGAAGAAACCACAGTTGCTCACTTGGCCAACCTCAAAACTCAGAGCTTACCAACAGCCTGGGACAAAACAGGACTGGTACAAGGCTCCCCTCCCTGTCACCACAGATCCCTTTCAGCCCTCAGGCCACACTGGCCCTCTGAACCCCAAACACTCCATCACACTGCAACCCAACATCTGCCTGCCCCAGATGCACACCTGGCCCCCACCAGCCACAGCTGGCAGGGGAGCTCACCACCTATTGCAGGTCCTCTCGTCTTCCCCCTGCAAGCAGTGTTTCTGCCGAGCGATCCTGTGCCAAAACACCTTCTTGGTGGTCAATGTGTTTAATTCTTAGTGTTCACACAAAGCCCTGCTAGATGGGGTGTAAAGATCCTCCTTCCTCTGGAAAGATCCCAAGCTCATATTTTTCCTGAACAGCTTTACATTCGGCTTTGTGTATTGGTGAGCTCTGACATCACCGTTATAAAACACAGAGACTATATTTCTAAACCTTTCCCTAGGCTAATCCTAGCAGCAGCAGTTAAGCTCAAATCAGGAAGCTATGTGTGTTTTGGGGTCGTAATGACAAACGTTTCAGCACATAAAAGGCACTGGAAGTGTTTCCCACATTTCCCCACCAGTCCCACTCCAGGGCTATGCCTTGGCCACCTCCACCCCACTTTTCAAACCTAACATTAGCACATGGTTTGCATCCAAACCTACCCTTTCTCCTCTCTTTTTATTTGACTTTAAAAAGGCTTCTCCATAATAAGCAAGTGTCTGATGGTTGTAGATGATGAAACTTTCCTCTTACAATCTATTTACTGGTGCAAGAGGAAGCACTCATACAATCCTCCTCATCCAGGAAATATTGGCTAAGAAGCAAATAGCACAGCTCTAAATGCACAAAAAGCAAAGATAATACCAACAACAGATTAACAGGCTACACACGCTCCTCACCATTTCCATCACTGCTATAATCAACAAGCTTAGGGCTTACAAAGACAAAAAGCCATTCACTACAGAAATCACTTATCTCTATCTATTGTATTTAAAAGCACATGCACAGAACTGAGGATTTGTAGTAAATGCAACAGAAGTCATGAGATGCAATTCAGGTGGTGTTAAAGACGGAAGTTTCGCAAGAGCGTCAATGCAGGCAGATGTGATTGGGAAGGACACAATGCTTCAGAGATTAGGAATCCCACAGTTAGTTTAAAAAACTTAGATTAAAAATCAGAAAGTATGACCTAAGTAAGATAGGGAAATTCCAGTGCTTCAAGTTTTAGGGGTTTTTAGGAAGGGAAATTACATTTTCTGATTAAGTTCATGTGTAGTCTTTAACCAAACTCACAAGCTGACAGCACAGACATCTTTCTCAGTATCGCAATATTTCCTGGAGTCCTCCATGACCTTTAGACTTTTACGGTGATTGGCAAAGCGCACACAGAGACAGTTACAGCCTCCAACAGCTCAAGCAGGTAAAGCAGAAGAGGAGGTTGACAACCAAGGTGAACAAGTGATTTGTCCCAGTCTGTAGCAGGAGCAGGGTAACAGGATTCACACCCTACATTACCGTAAGCACTGGACCATCTTTCCTCATCATTAATTTGGTGCTCTTTTGCAATAGTTGCTGTGCCTCCAGAAGTGCCCCGGGAACACAAACCTTCATGGAGCACACTGCGGTGTGGTCAGAGCACTGCTCCTCCTCTTCCAGGCTGGTGGGGCTTGGGGCCTTCTGGCGTTTTTCTGGTGTTTCTTCTTCTTCTTCATTTCGCCTTCTCTTCTTTTCCTGAGTGCAGAAAACAAACAAGCCAGGAAGTGAGCTGGTCAAACTGCTTACTACGCAACAAAAGTGATTTTTACCGTCTCCCAGGCTTCCTGCTTTACACTAAAACAAACACGTGAGCAGAGAAACTTTGAGTTCACATCATCTAATTTTGAAACGTCCAGGAAGAAGCTCACAGGTCATTGGGGATGGGTCGGGGGGGGTGGGGGGGGTAAACAGAGAAATTTTGCAAGTTCAAGGTTCCAAAATTATATGGAAAGAGGTCACAGAGTGGTGGGGGTTGGAAGGGCCCTCTGGAGATCATCCAGTCCAACCCCCTGCCAAAGCAGGGTCACCCACAGAAGTTGCACAGGATGGTGTTCCAGGTGGGTTTTAAATATCTCCAGAGAAGGAGACTCCACAACATCTCTAGGCAGCCTGTTCTCTGTCACCCTCAAAGTACAGAAGTTCTTCCTCATATCAGTCCTTGCATCAGTTCATAAAGATTTCTTACCACTATTGAGACAGGAAAGCATGAATTTCTCATTTAGAGGCCACAAGGCAAGAGAGCAGCTGCCCTTAGAATAAAGGGCTAGAAAGAGTCACACACACACAGTTCAAATGCAAAAAGCATACCAGCCTCAGCAAGTCAAAATCCATTTACAACAAAAGATATTTGAAGCTTAGCCACCCTAACAGACTTGCACACCACTCAAGTTCCAGCTTTGTCTCTCATTAACCAAGAATTACACCTCATTGGAAGAGCAAAGAAAGAAAACCTCAGCTGGGAGCAATGCAAGATTTAGAGATACATCAAACCAAAGTGCTCCAAAGGTGCAATAAATGCTGGGGAGGGAAAAACAAGCAGTAAAATTTAGATTTGAGTTCTCCTGAAGAGCAACTCACTGCCCACAAAACCACAGGAGAAATAGTAGCACTTTCCTTCTCAGTGTTGCAGGGACATGACTAAAGCATCACAAACTCTGGGAGCAAATACACCAGCCTCGCAAGTGGGCAGGGGCTGCCTGCGGTGACCCCAAGAAGGTACACAGGCAAGAGTGGCACCAGTCCCAGGTTATGCCATGAAAGCATGTCTATAGGGCCTCAACACCCAGCAGTGTAAGCAGCAATGGTGAGTTGAGCTCTTGGAGAGCAGCTCCCAGCCCTCCCACCAGCCCTATGGAAAGGAAAAGGTCAGCTCCTCCTGATCCCACCTCTTGCTCGGCTCTCTCCTCTTCCTCCTGCTCTTTGACCTGTTCTTCCTCCTGGTACAGCCTCTCTTCCTCCCCGATAACCACATTCTCCTCCCGGATCTCCTCCGGGCTTTCCTGATCCAGCTGGATCTGCTCCAGTTTGACTTCAGCTTCCCTCACACTACCGTCCTCTTCTTCATATGACTGTCGTGGAGACCTAGAAGTGGGGGGGAGAGAGGTCAAATAAGCAAAACGTGTTGATATGAGCCTACAGACACCATCAGATACCTCAGACCTCTAGAAATTCCATTTTATCGCTCCTCCTAGCTTACAACTTGCTGGGTGTTTTACACCAGGGCCCACAGCCACTTCAGTGACCCATCCAGTTCCAGGTGCCCAGGTGTAACAGCAGCCACATCACACTCCCACACTTTAAATGTCCAAGACTCAGCTCAGCTAAGAGTTGTGGCAGAGCTGAAGGCATACGCACCTTTCCAGCCCCACCATGGGCAAGACCCGCACGAAAACAACAATCAGACCTCCACTCAAGCCCCAGGCGGAGAGGACCCTACCACCATGATGTGGTGCTGGCTCAATTCTCTGCTCCCAGCCAAAATCCCAGGTGAACCATAGTGTTCTGTGGTCCTAGTGCACAAACACAGATCTGATGCTGCTCCTGTGGTTCCCAGCTTCACTTCAATGTGGAGCACCAAACACAGCCTTCCTCTGCCTAAACTCCTCTTCCATGTTAACAGAGCATCGTGCTGGAGGAAGATCCAGCCAATGACACATGAACATGCCTCCCAAGATCCCTCTTCTCCCTAGCTGAAACTAAACCACAGGGCAAGGCGGCACAGCCACTCACGTATTTTGGGTTGGGTTTTTTGTTTGTTTGTTTGCAAGGCACAGTGCTCACAAGCAATGCTATATCTACACCCGACCCCAAGCCTCAGTTTTGCCCACTGGAAAAAATTACATCTCTACTTATGTCACTCGTGTCATAGCCCAGCGAAACAAAGGAGTCCCACAGCAGCCACTGTCACCTCTTGGCTTAGATTTTTAAAAAAACACAAGAGGATTTATAGAAGAGGATCCCTCTGGGTCTCCAAGGCTGCAGAGAGGAGCCCAGGAGTGTGTTTAAGCAATCGGCTTCACAAAAGCAGAGCAGCCCATGCCTTTGGGCACAGAGTCAGTGGGAGCACATAACCCCAGGGCTCTCGCTGGCTCACAGCAATGCACCAAGATGTTATTGCCATCTTACTTCCTCCAGCCAGAGAATAGCTTTCTCCTCCCACCCACTTCTTAGAAAAATCACCCAGCTTGTGACAGCAAGACCAGAGAGCTGGCTAGCAGGCAGCTGCCAAAGTGCAAGGCTGACTCACCACTTCTGCCTCACCAGCCAGCACCAAAACATGAAAAAAAGTTCAAGCGAGACTTTTCCACCCACCTCTTGGCTGCTGGGAAGGCAGCTCACAGGACAGCCATCGTCCAAGCCCTCCTCACTGACCACATGGGGAAAAAGCTGATGCATATGCTGGCTCCCTTGGCTTGTTACTCATCATCCTCCCATGACAGGACCGTCACCAAGAGCAAGTGGGCTCTGAAGGCCCAGGTAACTCTCTTAACCAGGGTGCCAGCACTGCCGCCAGCTAAAGTGCAAGTTCATATTACAAATTCAGGCTGGCGTATATGACATCCAGTCCAGAGGACGCCTTTTGCACTACAGCAATTTCATATAGGAGGCAGCTAGCCTGACAGAGCTCCCACCCCCTTGCATTCAGCCGATAGCACAGATCTCCCCCCACAAAGCAGGGAACCAGAACCAAAAAGAAAACACATCTTGGCACCCAGGCCCTCAGGGGATGCACAAGCTGGTTTAGCTCCATCCAACAGAGAGCAACTGTCTCCATCCCCTCATTCATAGCCATCACCTAAACACCCTTCACATGAAAAATCAGCATTTGCTCCATGTTCCGTTAAGCTAGAGAGAGGAGAGAGGAGAAACCCCAACCCCAGGGCTGCTTGTCCCAGCCAGACACACAGCCTACCTGTGCTCACACCACACTCCAAGCCTGTCCTTCAGGTGAGCAAGGGCAAAGCTGCCAAAGGACTTTATAGGGCACGGCCACCCCCTAGGAACGAAGCCCAGCTTTTGCAAAAAGCTCACTCCCAGCAAAGTCTGAGCTCCTTCAGCTGCGTCTCCCAACCAACCTCTAGGCAAAAGCCTACAGCCGCTGCCTTTAAATCACCACCCCTCTCTGATGGGCTTCACCTGCCATGGATGCCACCTCCCCTGCTCAGCACCCTCCTGCCCCACTACAGAATAAACACAAGCATCACATAAAAACCCAGGGAGCAATTTCTGGAGAGGATAATGCAACCCTTCCAGCTAATTCTCTCTTGAAGGCCAAGGAGGGAATAGCAGCAGCCTTTCGCTCTGGACAAGCTCTTTGCAAGGGGGGGTTGAAAAAAAGGCAGCCTGCTGAAAAGCAGATGGGGCTGATTTCTAATTGCTCCCACAGATGTGATAATCAACACTGCGGCGAGGTGCTTGAGCAATGCTTGAGGGGTCAGGGCTGCAAAGGTACAGCTTGTAGAGTGGTTTAGCTACAGTGTTTGGAAAAAAGTAAGAAAGAGGCAAGCTCTATTTATTTGTTCAGCAGTAAATATTAATCTTAGGCATTTTTTCAGTCTTGGGGGGTAAAGAAGAGGCTGTGCCATCACAGGGGCAAAATTCCCTATAAAATCAAGCTGCCAAGAGAGCTGAGTCACAGAGTTTGCGTGCAGGTAGCTGCTGTCCAAGGGAAGTGGTCAAGGCAAGGGTTTAGTTCAGCTGGGCAAGGGGAGAGTGATGGGAGATGGGGACTAAACAGCAGGCACACAAACACTTCTCAGCGCTCTTTGCTGCCTGTTTTCCCCCACTGAAAGAGCAGTGAAGCACAAGGTGGGCTGGGGCCATAACACCCACTACGCTGACATGAGCCAGGAAGCAGCAATAACTTAGAACAGCTTTTTAGGCTGGCCTGGATTATGTTAGAGGCCGTTTCAGCCCCTGCAGCAGCTCAGGTGGCTTAAATCCGCTGTTGTCACTCCTCCAAACGCAGGCGTCCTGGCAGGCGGCCATCGCTTGGAGTGCAGAGCTCAATGCAAACATCCCCGCAGGCGGGGGCAGGCCCTCAGCCTCTTCCTCCCTGCTACCCCAAATGGCAGGCGGGGAGCATCCATCCCAGTGGTGCGGGACCTGTCCTGTCCTGCCAGTGCTCTGGCCTCGTTCTTATGCGTGCTAGGCTTGACCTGGGCTTGGTCTTCTCTGAGGATGGTCCTTTTGCTGGGCATGTTGGTTCCCCTTCCCTCAGTCCAGCTGTGTCCTACCCACCTCTGTTTGCGCTGCTCAAGCTTCTGGGACCAGTCACTGAACCCCTCATCCTCCTCCAACTCCGAAGTCCCGGATGGCTTAAAGTCATAGCTGAAACACAGCAAAAAGGAAAATTGGGATGAGAGGTGCAAAAAAACCCAAACCTGGCCTGAAAGAGCCCCAGCCTGATACCATCCTTCTCTCCCTCCAGTTATTGCACCTTCTTTCCTCTGGCTGCTCCCAAATCCCACTTGAAACCTTATCCTCCGTTACAGGAAAGACGCCTTTGCCACATGCTGAGGAGCACCCTTGTACAAAGGGGGTCTCTTGCGGCATCACCGCAAGACGGAGAGGAAGAAGGAACAGCCCCATGACTCCTGTTGCCTGTCTGGTCTCTGGGGCTGCACGCAGGCAAGCCAAAGGCAAGCCTTACATCAAAACCAAAAAGTCCATGGTTTGCTTCTGCACCAGAGCTGGCCCTAACTTATTTGGACCAGAGGTGTTTCAAACTTGGTTGCTGCTTGTCCTATGCTTGTACACAGCCCCATAGAAAAGACATCAGCAGGAGCCGGCTTGAATGGATCACTGGATGCAGAAGGCATGAAGACCCAAAGATGAAGACACTGGCTGAAGTTCTGGGTTGGATCCTCACATTTTCCTACAGCTTTGAGCCAGTCACATGCACTTACATGGCTCTGGCTCCCCGCCTGTGAATACCATAGTGCCGTACAGAACCACAGTCCTCCCCGGATGCACAGCTGCTGGCACCAGATGTGGGCTGGCCGTGCATGGGAATTGTTGGGTTTTTCCTATTTCTTTCCTTGCACTCACAAGGAAACTCGCCTCCTGGACAAGGAGCCTGGCTGGGCAGCCACGTTGCAAGCATTGGCCTGAGAAGGTGGCTTCACAGATGGTTTTGGGACGCAGGGCAGTCATGTTGCCTGGGAATGGGAATTAGGATGCGGGATTCACAGATTAGTGTAAAAGTCAGAGGTTTGCAATACATTATAAACATGGGTGAGTCTTTTCTTTGCCTTTCTGGGCTGTTAGGAGGTGTCAGGAGATGCTTAGCCTCCCCCGTGACCCTGGTGGCTTGAAATACGGGGCATTTCTCTGAGATTCGGGAGTCTCATCTTGAACTGACTGCAGGAGCTGAGGGTTTACAAAAAACGTGTGCCCTCACCAGGCTCACCAGGGAGGGGAGCAGGGGCTGTGCACCCAAAATGGCTGCTCAGCCACAAGTTTGAGCACAGCCCAGCTCCCGCTGCACTTCAGCATCCCCTCAGACTGCCGAGCAGTGATGCCATGTAGGTCTGGGGCACTGCAGCCCGGGCTGGGTTAATTTCCACTGCGTGTGTAGCAATAGCTTGTGGATGTCCCAGGATAACACTTAGGAAATTTATGTGGAGACAGGATGGGACCACAGATCTGCTGAGTCCCTGGTCAGGGCTTCAGGCAAGCTGCAGCGTTGATGATGCCCAAGGCAGAATCACCCCGGTATTTGTGGCCCCGGCCACAAACGTGTGCTTAGGCTACCAGAAAAGCTCCCAGGGAGCAAGGGAGACTGGCTGAATGCTGTTTGAAAACTGGTTGCTTCCCTGTACCCCTCTGTAAACACGGCCCCAGGGGAAGCACCAAGCCAGCACAGCCCCATCGGCATCGCCTAAGCTGACATCCATCCCTCTGGCTCCCAAGGCCACGCATGTCCTCCCTGCAAACCCACTGTTTTGCAGATTATTTCTCTTTTTTTTTTTTTTTTTTTTCATTGAAAAACAGGGGGAAGGGAGGAGAGGAGCTTCGCTCTGTCCCTTCAGTGCAAGGAAATGCAGAGGGAGGGGTTGCACAAACAGGACTGACATAGATGGGATGAGTCCCAGCGCGGCAAGAGCCGAGGGAAGGAAAGGGCAGTGTTTACAGGAGAGAGAGCAAAGCTTTTTGGAAGATTAATAGCCAGGGCTGACCCTGGCTGCATGAGCAAGCCCAGGTGGCTGTCAGCAGCTGCAGAAGAAACCAGGAGATGGCCAGAGAAGAAACATCCTTCTGGTAGAAGCCTGGCCCAGCAAGCTCAAGCATTGTGGAATAAGGAGCAAAACCCCTCGTTTTAGGAGTTCTTCTTGCCATTGCCCCCTTCATAAATATTTAAGCACTCAATTAAATTCGGGCAACACCAAGGGTCCCGTGAGGGCAGCAGCGTGTCGGTGCCCATGCCCACAGGACTGGAGCCCGCAAGCTGGGTTACTGGGGCTGCTACCCGCTGCTCTGTGCCCAAGGCCGCTCACAGCATCACCCAGCAAAGCAGAGACCAGAGCTCTTGTCTGCCATTTTAAAGACCTTTACGAATTATTTTCCAGCCCCGGTGTGAAGGGGGGTTTGGAAAAGCTCACAATTATTATTACTTTCTACTTTCCAGATCTTCTGTTTGCTTTTAGGGCAGATTGCCGTGGTTTTGTCTGCAGAATATCACCGGGTGTATTTCCACAAAAGACTTTGAAGCTTCTTTGCAATGCTTTTAGACCAAAAAAAAAGTCCTGAATAATTTTGAAAGTCTCTGAGAAAAAAAACCTGATCTTTCAATGGAAAAAAAAAGATTTTTATAAATAGCTTTTGCTGGTTTTCCAGTAAAATGAAGCTGCTGCTTCTCTCTGACTGTAATCTCAAATCCTGCTGCCATTTTTCCATTGTGTTTATTATATTTAGAAATAAGTTTGACACATAAACAGTGGGAAGACTGGGGTCTTTAAGACAGAGTTTGGCAACTCGGAGTGCAGACTGGTTTTTGTGCCAGCCTCAATGCTGCACAGCACCTCGGCTGCTGAC